AAAAAAATCAGCCGGGCATGGTGGTACATGGCTGTAGTACCAGCAACTCAGCAGGCTGACATGGGAGGATTGCTGGAGCCACGGGGTTGGGGCTGCAGTGAGCCATGTTCATGCCACTGCACTCCAGCCTGTGCAACAGAGTGAGATCTCATTTCAAAATCTGTAACAAAATGAACAGAACTTCCCTTGATGCTACATTCCTTTCAGCTACCACCCAACTTCCCTGCTCCCGTCTCCACTTCCTCATCTCCATTGGTGCTTGAATTTACTACCTCAAAGCTTTTGTTCCCATCACCTGGTGGAATCCATTCTTGTCAAGGTCGCAAACAGCTAGCCTTTTAATTGGACCACCGATATAGTTCAATCTAGCGATCATTTTTCAGTCTTCATCTTACTGATCTTACAGCAGCATGTGGCCCCCTAATGGCTCAGGAGCACCCACTCTCCTGGATCCCCCCAACCTCATTTGTCTCTTTTTAGGCTCCTGGCTGGATCCTTTTCTTTCCCCAACCTCTTCTCTTTATCCTCCCGCTCTAGCTGAGTGATCTCACCCTGTCCCATGGCTTTGAGTAGCAGGTCTATAATGAGATTTTCCAAATTTATAGATCCAGTCCTAACCTCTTGAATAAACTCTAGAGTCGGCTATCTAACCACCTAATTGATGTCTCTGTTTTGAGTGTTTAATAGGCACCTCAAGCCCAAAAAGAGAGTGCGTGCTTATCCCTCCAAATCTGATTTTTGTCCAGTATTCTCTACTTTAGTAAATGACACTAGTTGGTCAGGACAAATATCTTGGCGTCAACTTTGACTTATCTTTTTCTCACATATCCTACATTTGGTTTGCCAGCCAACGCCTGTTAGCTGTAGCTTCAAATCAACTCTCTCAACTATCAAGAGACTAATCACTTTTTTTTCAGGCGGAGTCTCACTCTGTTGCCCAGGCTGGATTACAGTGGCACGATCTCGACTCACTGCAACCTCCATCTCCCGGGTTCAAGTAATTTTCCTGCCTCAGCTTCTCCAGTAGCTGGAATTACAGGCACCCACCACCACACTTGGCTAATTTTTGTATTTTTAGTAGAGACGGGGTTTCACCATGTTGGCCAGGATGGTCTCGATCTCCTGACCTTGTGATCCACCTGCCTTGGCCTCCCAAAGTGCTGGGATTACAGGCATGAGCTACCACGCCTGGCCGAGACTAATCACTTCTTCCCATCTCCACTGCTACCACCCTGGTTCATCACCACTTCACCATCAGCTCTCACCCTGGCTGTTTCAATAGACTTCTCATTGGTCTCCCTATTTCCACAATGTTCTCCTACATTTTATTCTCTACACAGTAGCCAGAATGATCCTTCGTAATCACAGATCAGTTCATATCCCTCCCCTGTTCAAAACCCTCCAATGCTGCCTGTCACAGCTAACTAGAATCAAACCTGAAGGTCTTGGTGGCAGCTTGGACTTCATATCCTTCTCTTCTTCCTTTCATCTGGTCCTCCAGTCTCATAGGCCTCCTTCCTCGTCCTTGAACACTAAGCTCTGCCTCAGGGCTTGGCAGTAGCAGGAGCCTCTGTTAGTCAGGTTCAGTCTTCCTGCAGACAGTCTTGGGGCATCCTCGCTTTCTTACATCATGCACATCCCTCTGCAAACATCACCTCCTCACGGGGGACTTCTCTGGCCACCCAATACTTCTCTGGACTTCTCAGGCCAGGCACAGTGGCTCACTCCTGTAATCCCAGCACTTTGGGAAGCCAAGGCGGGTGGATCACCTGAGGTTAGGAGTTCAAGACCAGCTGGCCAACATGGTGAAACCCCATCTCTACTAAAAATACAAAAATTAGCAAGGTGTGGTGGCAGCACGTGCCTGTAGTCCCAGCTACTTGGGAGGCTGAGGCAGAAGAATCGTTTGAACCCGGGAAGCGGAGGTGGTAGTGAGCTGAGATAGCACTTCAGCCTGGGCAACAAAGTGAGACCCTGTCTCAAAAAAACAAACAAACAAAAAGTCTACTCCATCCCATCACCTGTACCTTGCCTTTTATAATATCTGTCACTACTTAACATTAATGTTTATTTGCTTGCTTGTTTGTTCCTTGTTTGTCTTTCCTATTAAAATGTAAGCTCTGAATTATCGATGTTGTTAGTTGGGTTCTTTTGGGAGTAATGATATTAAAAAAGTTTTATCTTTTAGAGATAAATCCCAATATATTTACGGATGAAATAATCTGACATCTTGGATTTGTTTCAAATAATATAGGGGGAAGGATAGAGGGAAGGATAGGTTACCAGTTGAAAAAGGCTGAGTTTATATTGTTTAAGTAGGATGATGAGTAATAGTTCATTAGACTATCTTCTTTTGTATGTGTTTAATTTTTTCTGTAATAAAAAACAAATAAATAAAACCTTTGCTTGTTTCTTTATTATTATTTCCCTAAGGCTGAGAGCAGTTCTTGACATATAGAAGGCACTCAACAAATACATATTTATTTGATATTCATTGTATAGTGAATCTTTAGGTGAGTAAAGGTATATTTTCAAGATAAATTTTATTTAATTACTGCAAATTATTGGAAATCTAAATTCTTGTTTCCAAAGGAGGATTTTACAGAATCTGCCCTTTCAGGCCATGCATTCAAGAATATTCTAATTATGGGAATGCCAGAAACGATAGTCAGTAATTTGGTGATAACTATGCCCTTATGCCTTTAATTATTTTCATAAGACCAATTTTTAAAAATATAGCTTTATTTGTCTTACCTCTTTTTCACCAAATTATAATAATCAGCTGTATTCTCCTGTACCAGAATGTGTGACAAAGTTTGGGAGAAAATCCAAAAGTTTAGTTAGGGGAAAATTTATAGACCTGGTCACTTGAAACTTTGGCCTGACTGTAGTTTGGTGATCACTGATGTAGAATATAAAATCCATGGTAACAGAAAGTGGCCTTTTTGATTTCTAGTACTACACAATTTATCAGACTAACAGAGAAAGCTCTTCCAATAGAAAGTGTAAAAAAAAAAAAAAAAGTGAATTACAGGCCGGGCACGGTGGCTCACACCTGTAATCCCAGCACTTTGGGAGGCCGAGGCGGGCTGATCACGAGGTCAGGAGTTCTAGACCAATCTGGCCAACATAGTGAAACCCCGTCTCTACTAAAAATACAAAAAAATTAGCCAGGAGTAGTGGTGTGCGCCTGTAATCCCAGCTACTCGGGAGGCTGAGGCAGGAGAATCACGTGAACCTGGGAGGTGGAGGTTGCAATGAGTCGAGATCGAGCCATTGCACTCCAGCCCTGGTGACAGTGCGAGATTCTATCTCAAAAAAAAAAAAAAAAAAAAAAGTGAATTACAAATACCTGGATGTATTCATTAATTTCATGAACATATTCAGTCTATAGTGTTCAACTGTTTACTGTACTAGACATGGGATATTATGGTGAACAAAGATCATCTGCCTTCAAGAACTCCAGAGACCTTAAAGAGAAACAGTTTTGATCTTTTTCTTTCCTCTTGAAGTCCAGGTATAGCTTAGTTACCTACAGTCCCCAACAAAGGAGCACTGCACATTTGAGGAAAGCTCTGTCATGAAAGCCACAGACAATAACAAACATAGATGATGCTGGGGTGGAAGAAAACCTCCCCCAAATTGTACTTTTTATACTCAGAGAGGTAAGAGAAAGTGTTGCTTCCATAAAATGAAACAGAAATGCTCAGAAAACAATAGAAAGCTCTTAGAAATTAAAATATGATGAAAGAAGTTACTATTCTATACAAGGGTTAGAAAACAAAGTTTAGAAATCTCTAAAAGATAGGTTAAAAAATGAAAAGACAAAATACAATAAAATTGAGGACTAATTCAGGATTTTCCAACACCTGACTAATGGGAGAAAAGTAACAGAAAACAGAGAGGAGAAAACAATCAAAGAAATAATGCAAATAATGCAGAAACAATTCTGGAACTGCGAAACATGAGTGTCTACGTTGAAACAGCACACTGAGCACCTAGAGCAATAAAAGATAAAAAAAGAAAGTCCACATCAAGGCACACCACGAGGAAGGTTCATAACACTGAGAACCAAACAGAAGATCCTGAACACCTCCATTGAAGAAAAATGGCTTATACATAAAGAATGTTACCAGAATGGCACCACCTTTCTCAGCAGCAACACTATTAGAAGTTTAAATGGAATGATGTCTTCAAAATTGAGAAGGAATATGATTTTCAACTCAGAAAATTATACACAGCCAAAATATCAGTCAAAGGTGGGTATAAAAGAAAATCCCTGTCAAAATACAAGATCTCACATTTACCTCCCTTGTGTCCTTTTTCAGAAAGCTATTGGAGAATGTGCACCACCAAAATAAGGAAATAAATAAAGGAGGAAGAAGGCCCTGGGTTCAGGAATAACGTATCACACCTAGAGACAGCCAAAGAGAATTCCTAGGATGAGAGGGTGTATCAGGACCAGACAGCCACCCCTCCAGAGGGAGGGCAGAATGGAGGACTCAAGAGGATGTCTCCCAGAAAATAAAAATGCAGCTGAGGATTACTTGATGTTTGACAGCCTGGAACATAGTATCTAGGGGGTGCATTTATGTTTTTATCAAATGAGTCTAAGAAGAACTAGGAATAGTGACATAGAAAACCAAGCAAATGAAAACATGAGGCAAGTATTAACTTCAAGGAATTGTTTGATTTGGCTCAGCAATAAAGAATACGTAGATAGTCATAATAATGCGTACTAATAGAAGACTTAACAAAAAAAGGAAGGATGGAAAGAGAAGAAGAGTGGGGGTAGTTATTATACGTTTTGTAGTACAATGTGACTTTTAAAACCATATAATATCATTTTTGTTTTGTTTGTTTTGTTTGAGATGGAGTTTCATTTTTGTTGCCCAGGCTGGAGTGCAATGGCACTATCTCGGCTTACTGCAAACCTTCGCCTCCTGCGTTCAAGTGATTCTCCTGCCTCAGCCTCCCAAGTATCTGGAATTAAAGGCACCTGCCACCATACCTGGCCAATTTTTGTAATTTTAGTAGATACGGGGTTTCACCATGTTAGCCAGGCTGGTCTGGAACTCCTGACGGCAGGCGATCCACTCCCCTCAGCCTCCCAAAGTACTGGGATTACAGGCATGAGCCACCAAGCCTGGTCTCATGTACTATAATTTAAAAATTAAAAACAAAAGAGAAAAATAAGTAGCAGACAAGTACTAAATAAAAAATGGCAGCAATGGTATTATCAGTCACATTAGAATTTAAGGCAAAAAGCATCAATATGTATAAAGGAAACCAATATAAAATAATAAAAAGGACACTCAAGAAGATATGATTATGCTGAACTTCTATGTACCTAAAAATATCGCTTGAAATATATGAATAAAAAAATTGATAGGTTTGCAAAACAAATTTGAAAAATTTGCAATCATTGGGAGAAATTTTAATGTATCTCTATTAGAAGCTGATAAATCGGCCAGGCGCAGTGGCTCATGCCTATAATCCCAGCACTTTGGGAGGCCAAGGTGGGCAGGTTGCCTGAGCTCAGGAGTTTGAGACCACCCTGGGCAACATGGTGAAACCCTGCCTCTACTAAAATACAAAAAATTAGCTGGGCGTGGTGGCACACACCTATAGTCCCAGCTATGTGGGAGGCTGAGGCATGAGAATCACTTGAGCCTGGGAGGTGGAAGTTTCAGTGAGCCAAGATCACGCCATTGCACTCCAGCTTGGGCTACAGAGTCTCAATAAAAAAAATGCCGATAAGTCAAAACAGGCCAGAAAAATTAGTTAACAGATAAAAATATTTGAACAACAAATTAGCAAGCTTGATCTAACAGATTTCTAAAGAACCGTGCATTAAAAAATAGAGACTATACATTCTTTCCAAGTAGGCATGGTATATTTTAAAACATTCTGATTTACTGGGTCACAGAGGAACTCTATAAATTTCAAAGATGTGAAATTATACGTCACACAGATTCTTGGGTCACAATGCAATTAAATTAGAAATGAACAATTAAAACAGAAAATAAGGTAAAGACTTTTGGTAAATTTGAAAATGAACTAAATAACTCAGTTAAATAATAATAATGGAAATTATGAAATAACTGGAAGTTAATTGACAATGAAAGTATGTATATAGGAGCCAGGTGCTGTGGTGCATGTCTACAGTCAGTCCCAGTTATTTGGAAGGCTGAGGTGGAAGGATTGCTTGATCCTAGGAGTTCAAGACCAGCTTGGGCAACATAGCGACACTCGGTCTCTAAAGAGGCAGAAAGAAAGAAATAACTGCATTTAAAAACCCATGAGATGCAGCTAAAGTAGTATTTTGAGGTAAATGTAAAGTCTTAAAGATTTAGAAAACATGAAAGATTTATAATAATAAAATTAAGCCCATCTTCACCATGTCTCTTCTGTCCACCTCTAAGGCTTCAATCGACTTTGTTCCCATTATTTACCCTCACTACTCTAGAACCAATGGTCTTGGAATGCTCTTCCTTCATTATAGTCTCATTTCTATTCAGTAATTCAATTTAGTGCTAATTCTCCCCCATTTCATGCACTAATCTCATGAGCTGAGTATCTTCTTCCAACACTCCCGGGACCTCCACACCTTAAATGAAACCTGTGCTTTCCTGACAGCACATCCACCCTCCTAATACTCCTCAGTAGAGATGGGTCCTTGCCCTGTTCTGATGGCGCCTGGAAGGATGAAGGGACTAGCATGTATTGAGCAACCACTATGTGCCAGACGCTTCATGGAGCAAGGCATTCCATCATGTTTAATCTCATTTAACCTTCCAAACAACCTTTCAAAGTAAACAGTGTTGTTTTGCATTTTACAAAGGAGGAAACGGGTTCAAGATTACGTGACTTGCCGAGGACACACACAATGGCAGAGCTTTAATTGGACTCTAAATCTTGATCTACCTCACGGCATTTGTTTTTTTCACTGTGCCATGAGGGAGAAAAGGTACAACATTCTTTTCTATGATCACATTCTTTTCTATGGTCACTTGGTCACATCCTCAATTGCCGCTGTCTACTGACGTCTGAAAACTTCCTTACGAATTGGAGCACCTGGCTTAGCATTTACTCTCCAAACCAGAGACTAGACACATAGCCACCATGGAAAAGTGCCTTTTACCAGGTGCTGAAAATTTATTTCTGTGTCAGGAAATGGGTGTAAAATATCAATAATCAAAAAAATATAAAAAGATAAAAAAAATGTATTTCTGATTGTAACTACCAATCCTTTGAGTGCACCACTATCTCTTGTCATTATTCTTTCTGCTCTTTCTCCAGCCTCCCCATAAACCCCATTCTTCACTCTGAGGCCTGAGTAATCATGCCAAAATGCATGGCCCAACCTCTGGCTGGCTTCCAAGCCCGCTCTGCGTCACTGCTGCTCTCTGTGCCACAGCCACACCAACCTCCTTTCAGTCCTCAGATGCACCTCCCAAAATGTTTAAAATAAAAAAGAAAAAAGAAACTAGGGCTTGTTCTGTCACATGGTAAGGAGGGCAGAGGAGTGATCATAGCTCATTGCAGCCTTGAATTCCTGGGCTCAAGCAATCCTCTTGCCTCAGCCTTCTGAGTAGCTAGGACTACAGGATTGCACCACCATGTCAGGCTAATTTAAAAAATATTTTTGGCCAGGCGTGGTGGCTCACGCCTGTAATCCCAGCACTTTGGGAGTCCAAGGCGGGTGGTTAATGAGGTCAAGAGATCCAGACCATCCTGGTCAACATGGTGAAACCCCGTCTCTACTAAAAATACAAAAATTAGCTGGGCATGGTGGCACGTGCCTGTAGTCCCAGCTACTCGGGAGGCTGAGGCAGGAGAATTGCTTGAACCCAGAAGGCGGAGGTTGTGGTGAGCCAAGATCACGCCATTGCACTCCAGCCTGGGTAACAAGAGCGAAACTCCATCTCAAAAAAAAAAAAAAAAAAATATATATATATATATATATTTTTTTTTTTGTAGAGATAGGGTCTTGCTATGTTGCCCAGGCTACTCTTGAACTCCTGGTCTCAAGCAATCCTCCTACCTAGGCCTCCTAAAATGCTGGGATTACAGGCATGAGGCACTCTTCCAGAGCTCAAGGGACTTTTTTGTGTATGTCCATGCTCTTCCTTCTGCCTAGAGGCTTCTCTTTCCTCTTAGCCTAGTTCACTGCCATTCTGATCTAGCACAAGTGTTACTTCCTCAAAGAAACACCCCCACACCCCATTCCTGGCCCTAGGTTGTGTTCTTCGTTTCAGAACCTTCACTTGTGATTGTACATGAATCACACAGTATCTATATTAACTAGAGTGATTTTATGATTAATGTCTACCTTCCCAACTAGGCTGCAAACTCCATGAGTGCAGGGACAATGGCACTTTTTTGCTCACTAATGTCTCCAGGGCCCAGTACAGGGCCTAGGACTAAGTAGGTACTCAGTTTAAAATTGCTGAATGAATGAATATAGGACATGTATGTGGTGAAACTTGGTGGACAGTTGGATATATGGTATTTCTAGCCCAGGGGAAAGACTTGGGCTAAAAAATCAGATTTAAGAATTATTAGAACACAAGTGGTCACTGATGTTATCACCCAGAAAGGGTGAGAAAAATATAATGAGTAGCTGGGCACAGTGGCTCACACCTGTTATCCCAGCACTTTGGGAGGCTGAGGTGGGTGAATCTCATGAGGTTAGGAGTTCGAGACCAGCCTGGCCAATACAATGAAACTCTCTCTCTACTAAAAATACAAAAGCCCAGTGCGGTGGCTCACACCTGTAATCTCAGCACTTTGGGAGGCTGAGGTGGGCGGATCATGAGGTCAAGAGATCGAGACCACCCTGGTCAACATGGTAAAACCTCGTCTCTACTAAAAATACAAAAATTAGCCAGGTGTAGTGACAGGCACCTATACTCCCAGCTACTTGGGAGGCTGAGGCACAAGAATCACTTGAACCCAGGAGGTGGAGGTTGCAGTGAGCCAAGATTGTGCCACTGCACTCCAGCCTGGCAACAGAGTAAGATTCCATCTATAAATAAATAAATAAATAAAAATACAAAAATTAGCCACATGTGGTGCCATGTGCCTGTAGTACCAGTTACTTGTGAGGCTGAGGCACGAGAATTGCTTGAACCCGGGAGGCGGAGGTTGCAATGAATGGAGTTGTGCTACTGTACTCCAGCCTGGGTGACAGAGCAAGACTCTGTCTCAAGAAAAAAACAAATAAATAAATAAAATAAATTAATTAACAAAATGAAATAATAAAAAAATACAGTGAGAATACAGCGAGAAGAATACAGGATCCAGCTCAGAGCCCTGGACATGTATCAGTCATTGGGTTTAAAGCCAAGCTCTTCTCAGTTCCCTGGCCAAAGCTATTCTTCCTCCTGTGCTCCCCATTTCTATGGGCCATGGCCACAGCATCATGCTTTCAATCATCCAGGCTGAAGACTTCCTACTTTTTCCTTACCTCTTCCCTTTTTAGCCCCATATCCAATTAGTTACCAAGTCCTATTGGTCCTACCTCTGAAAATTGTCTCACAGCTGTTTTCTTCCCATCCCATAGCTGCTGCCCTATTCCAGAATTATTCATCTCTCTTTGATCTCATTACAATAGCCTACCATCTAATTTCCCTGTCTGTGACCCTCCATCCCTTCATTCTGTCCCCAGAGTTCTGTTTTATAAAACATGGGTTGCTCACATTTCCAACCTGCTCAAAAGCCTTTGATGGCTCCCCATTGTATAAAGTGGTAGTCCCTAAGACTAGCTGAGTATGCATCACAATCAGCAGAGGAAGTTTGAAAAATATACTTGGGATGGGTGTGGTGGTGTGCACCTGCAGTCCCAGCTACTTGGGAGGCTGAGTTGGGAGGATTGCTTGAGCACAGGAGTTTGAGGCTGTAGTGAGCTACAATCATGCTATAGCACTGCAGTCTGTGCAACTGAGCAAGACCAAAGCCAACCAAACACCCCCCCCCCACAACCTTAATCTATACCTATGTGTGTGTGTGTGTGTGTGTGTGTGTCTGTGTGTGTGTATATATATATATAGCTGACACGGTCAAAGTGCTCAATAATTTCTCAGGTAGGCCTTCTCCAGTGGTACTCTTTGGTAGCAACTTCATGCAATTGTCAATCTTCATTTTACCCACAAAATTACCCTGAAATTTCAGGGTAATTCAGTGGATCTACCTATTGCTTGGATTTATTTGTTGGATTTACAAATCCAATAAATATATACTTTATTTTATTTTATTTTTTCTTTTTGTTGTCTTTGTAGACTTTATTTTCTAAGCTAGTGGTGAGAAAATAACCACCAGGATAGAGGCTTGGATGGAGGCTTCAATCCCTCCCTCCGGTTTTTGTCCCATAACATCTTCTTTTCTCGATCTCTTGACCTCGTGATCCACCCGCCTCGGCCTCCCAAAGTGCTGGGATTACAGGCGTGAGCCACTGCGCCCGGCCCTTTTCTCTACCATCTCTCTTGATGTCCCTCAGCCACGCTGGACTACCCTATACTTTTCCGTATTAACTTTTACTTACCCATTTCCTCTGTCTGGATTGCCCCTCCCATCCATCTCTGCAGAATGAAACTTTCACAAATACCTGGGCTTCTAGGCAATGAGCCTGATCTCTCTCTTCTCTGTACTCTCAAAAGTATTTCATACTTCCTCAGGAAGACTTCCCAAATTATATGCTCTCATAGTTCCTGGTGTTTGGTCTTTTATGACAGTACTTAACATATTTAATGGTTATATATTTATCTGTGATATTTTTAAAAAATATTTATCTCCTACTATACTAGAAGTGCCTTGAAGGCAAGAGCCATATCTGTTACCATGTACAGTTGATTCATAAAATGGTATTATTTGTTGATTGGATGAATTAACATTTCTGAAATTATTACATATTCTGCTTTGTAGTGTGTGAAATAAATTGTATACATATTTGGATTCCCATATAGGGAATAGGTTTCATGTCTTTGCATCCCACCCCTACCCCTACCTAGTTGTGTGCTTCAGATACTGTGGGAGCTTAGATAAAATTGTCCCACTAGAACCCTAGAAGAATGTAAACTCTAGGAGAGCCAGGACTTGTCTTCTTCCTTACACTATCACCAGTGGTTAGAACTGTGCTTGGTCCATGACATTTGCTCAGAAAATATTTGTTGAATGAAATATTTAATTGTTAGATGAATCTTTTTCCTAGGGTACCCAGTATTGGCAACTTTACATAACTACCAATCTTCTTCATTGTGTCTCCAAGCTTCTTTTATTCTTGAGATGTATTCCTGTTTGAGTGTGCTAAAATGCATCTGGAAGTGGGGTAAGTTTCTCCCTGATAATTTCTTTTCCTATTCCATCATTCATCAAATATTTACTAAGCACCTTTCTCTCTCTCTTTCTCTTTCTGGCCAGGGGTGGTGGCTCATGCCTGTAATCTCAGCACTTTGGAAGGCCGAGGCGGGTGGATGATCACAAGGTCATGAGATCAAGACCATCCTGGCTAACTTGGTGAAATCTTGCCTCTACTAAAAATACAAAAAAATTAGCTGGGCATGGTAGCTCATGCCTGTAGTCCCAGTTATTCAAAAGGCTGAGGCAGGAGAATAGCTTGAACCTGGGAGGTGGAGGTTGCAGTGAGCCAAGGTCACGCCATTGCACTCCAGCCTGAGCAGCAAGAGCAAAACTCCGTCAAAAAAACAAAACAAAAAACAAAAACCTCACAAATAGTTTCTAAATTCTGGAGAAAATCAAGTAGAGAGAAACAAATATGCTCCAAATTTTGTTCATGGGAGTATACTAAATTGTTGAAAGCTGTCAATAGCTCAAAAGAAAAGTTTTAAGACTCTGAAAAACAAAACAAAGGATCAGCAACATTTTAAGCAAAAAGTCAAAAGATTAGTTCAGGCCATGCAGTTAATTCCTGTCCTGCTTGACATTCATGAACGTTTTAGCTCTCCATGAGTCCTGAAAGTTTTTTTCTCTATTCTGATGTCACAATCTCCAAAGTTATCAGAAGCCTGCATTCAAGGACACCTGTTAGAGTTTAATAGCTAATTATAAAACCACCTTCTAAAGAGAACCAAAACAAGACAACAATTGTCTGTGGATGACAGAAAGTTTTTAGGGCAGCCATAGTCAAAAACACAATTGACAAGGAAATTTGTCACCTCTGTGACATGCAATAATTTTAGCATAACATTTATTGTTGCTAATAATGTACACTAAGTTACATTAGAATTAGAAGTTTCTCATAATTTTGGAACACATACCAATAACATTTATACAAATATAGCTCAAAGAAACCAAACACCATTTCATGTTTGACAACGCTTCCTGTATAATTCTTTTCTTTTTTTTTTTTTTTGAGACAGAGTCTCGCTCTGTCACCCGGGCTGGAGTACAGTGGTCTGATCTTCGCTCACTGCAACCTCCAACTCCATGGTTCAGGCAATTCTCCTGACTCAGCCTCCGGAATAGCTGGGATTACAGGTGCACACAACCATGCCCAGGTAATTTTTGTATGTTTAGTAAAGACAGGGTTTCACCATGTTGGCCAGGCTGGTCTCCATCTCCTGACCTCGTGATCCTCCCACCTCAGCCTCCCAAAGTGCTGGAATGACAGGCATGAGCCACCATGCCCGGCCTATTTCTCGGTTCTCTATTCTGTTCCATTGATCTATGTACCTATTTTTATGCCAATACCACGCTGTTTTGGTGATTATGGTCTTATAGCATAGTTTGAAATCAGTTAGTGTGATACCTTCAGATTTGTTCTTTTTGCTTAGCCTTGCTTCAGCTATGCAAGCTCTTTTTTGGTTTCATATAAATTTTAGAATTGTTTTTTTCTAATTCTGGGAAGAATGATGGTGGTATTTTGATAGGGATTGTGTTGAATTTGTAGATTGCTTTTAGCAGTATGGTCATTTTCACAATGTTGATTCTACCCATCCATGAGCATGGGGTGTGTTTCCATTTATTTGTGTCATCTATGATTTCTTTCAGCAGTGTTTCATACTTTTCCTTGTAGAGGTCAACAAGGACTTTAAAAGATACTTGGATATAATACCTTAGTTTAAAAAAAGTTTTATCTCAGTTTTTTTTCTTAAGCAAACCAAAAGTTAATAATAATATTTGGACTTTCTGGTTTGTCCTGAACAACCCTCCTTCTTAAACAACAAGTCATTTTATTTTAGCACAAAAAATTTGCCATATAAGATTCTTTCTCATATAAAATTATTTCTCTTTAAGTTTTCTTACCACACACACACAAAATCTCTTTATTTTCATAACTTTCTTTATATCTGTTTTTATTTCCTGGTTCTTTTTACCTTGTTTTATACATAACCTTTAAATAAGCTTTGAATTAGACAATAATTTTTCACCTTTTTTTTAGTGAGAATATTTTCCTACAATATATATTTGTTGGAAAATACTCAAATAATAAAATACCTATTATTTAATTTAACTTTATTTCTAATTTATGACTAGTTTGTTTACAAGTATTTATCTCATTACATTTACCTAATTATTTTATTTTAATTGTTTACCTAGATTATTTATGAAAACTGTGATAGTCATGATTTAAAGTTATGAAAGTGCCATTGCAAAATTATAACTGAGACAGTAAAAAAAGATTTGACCTAACTGACTTCATATTGCTGTTGACCTCCAAGCTGTCCTTGTTCATTCCTGGGCACAGGCCAAACTAACTTTGGGAGGAATTTAGTTTATTGTTTAGCTTTGAAACAAAGATGATAAACAAAGTTTAGCTTTGAAACAAAGTCCTTTCCCAAAACAAACCTACTTATTTTCTGTCTACCAGACTGCCTAAAGCCACAGGATTAGAAGTTATGGTAATCGTATTAAATTCAAAATGCAGCTATTTTTATTAAACCCATATCAATGTCTTATTTGTTAAAAAACACACAAACATAGATCATTCTGTTTTGGCCTGAGTTTATAGTTTTGTAACCCCTATGCCAAATTTTGACATCTTACAGTATTTGGCCGGGACAAGTATGAAATTTGCTTGATTAATAAATGCAAATCAAAATGTGTGCTGGCAATTCTTAAGACAGTTCTAATAGTACTTTACCAGTAATTTTAAAGGTAGCTTATTTATTAAAGACTTTACTTATTACATAAACTTTAAAAAGCATTTGACTAGTCTTTTCTTTTTTAGTATCTAAGTGCTTTTATTTTTCTTTAAGCCAATTAATTAGAGCTCTTTTATATATTTTTGGTAGTGAAACATTTTGTATGCAACACATAAGTACATATAAAGAGGTATTAGGCATGCCGATGAAAGTACATTTTATAGATTTATAAAGACCACCCCATTTTTCTTTTTTTTCCTATTTTAGACTTTCAAATTATTGATAACCAGTTTTACAACCCTAGGCAGTTGTCAGCTAAATAGCCTTAAATTTGCACATTAAAAGAAAAAACTCAGGTGAAAATCAAATAGCAAAATTTACATCATGAGGTACACAGAGAAAAAGTCTGGTGGTGCTAGAGGGAGACACTTTTATTTTTCTTTGAGCCAAATTAAACATAAAATTAAACTACACTCTGTCTTAAAAACCCAATAGTAGCCTCTTTTGCAATAACTATTTTAATCCCTCCCAAAAAAAAAAACCCAATCAGGTAAAAACAGTATTCAGATAACTGAGAAGAAAAAGAAAAAGCACACTGATTA